TTTACCACTTTTTGAAGCTATTCAATGTTTTGATCCAAGGTATATTCATTCTCAAATAGAAAGAACTAACATTTTATAATATTCTATTATACCTGAATTTAAAATTCCAAATTTAAATTTAATTCAAGAATGGAGAATTTATAGTAATCTTAATGAAATAAATAATTCAGAGGAGGATTTTGATTTAGAAAATTATTTTCGGTATATTAAATAAATCCTTTTTTTAAATTATAAATTAATTTAATAATTTTGGCTAAAATTATAAGCGCATAATTTAGCATAATTTATTCTATTACGCATGCATAATTTGGTATTTACGTAGCATAATCCTGGACACTCTAATCTCCTATACTCAATAACTTACGATATGTATAAATATCACAGGATTAATATTCGTGAGGCCGGTAGCTCACATCAGTTTCTTATTTCTATCTTCTTAAGAATAACAGTAAAATAGAGCGTGGCGTAGTACTTTGAATAAGAGTTTTCACACGATCACATCGGCTCAATGTCACATGACATTTAGCATATTCATTGAACGCGTCATATGAATTATGGCGCAACAACTCGCTGTTGTCATTCGTGATTTCGTGATTATAGACGCGATCAGTTCAGATATATTTATAACTTCTTCCATATCTATCTCTTTATAAAACAACAATACAATAAAGATGTCCGCTCAAGAAATATATGCTGGCTACAATGGTAAGTTTCATAACTTATCTTCCTATACTAATAATTTCAGTTTTTAACCAATTTTTTTAATTCACTAGCTCTGGTCTCTTACTTACAACTAACCAAAAATAAGTCATATCGCACTTTTCTCGAACTAAATCGAAATGTCTTAATTTCTTCCTTGACTACGAATTCTAACTGGACTGATCTTGATCGTGCTTGGAGTACGAATTTTTTAAATGAAGCAAAAAGCTTTTAGATCAAGAAAATTACAATTCTATAAAAGAAAAAGTGCGTTTTTTTTTATTTTGCAAAGGAAGGGTAACTCCTAGTCACATCAAACACTTGACCTGGCTCAGGAAAATTACTGGGTTTTTGATACTGGTACCCACTCCAGGTGTTCTTAATCCAGGTGCTCTAACTTTGTTGTTAATAAGGGTCTACTGATTCTAGAGGAGGAATCGGTTATGTACCTTCCTTTATTACTAAATAAATGTTGCACTGCTAACCTCATTGCTTACAACATGTAAAATCGGAACGAAATGGTAATGGTTTGCGGGGGTACTGGCGGAGGTTGATTGAAGAATGTGGGCATGAAAAGGTGAGTAAATAAATATGATATTAATTGTATCGCCAGAGTTTTAATTGCGTTTTTCAAAGAAGCCTGTGAAGCAAAATCGAAATGTCACTGAAGATGAGGAGAAAGAAAACGTTGAACCAAAAAAACTTTCCCGATCCACTATTACACTCATCTGTTTCATTCAAGGAAATACGTCCACAAATACTTTTGCAGTTGATATCAGTAGTAACAAGCTGATTAGTCATCTCAAAAAAGCCATCAAGATGGAAAAACAAAATGATTTCGCTGGTGTTGACGCAGACAAGCTCAAGGTTTGGAAAGTGGAGATTCCTGACGATGATGACTATCAGCTGAGAAATATTTCACTCCAAAATAAAGATGAACTCCTTCCATCAAAAAAGATTTCTCGATATTTCCCTGTCACACCTCCCGAGGAGCACATTCATGTCATCATAAAGTATCCGCCACGTAAGTATTAGTTATAGTATACAAATTTCACCATTTACCCTGTAATATCCACTTAACATGTATTTATTTTCTAGTTCTTAGTCTGGAAGAATCGCTGTCGTATATCCCGCCACCTATCATTTATTCTCCAAAATGTACTACATCGAAAGCCACTACGAAGGCCAATGGTGACCCACCAACGAGAGTACTTCTATGGGAGGGTTTTTTTGATGAAGTTAACCAATTCTGCTTCGACTAACAACCGAAATTCGAAAAACCGCAGTTTGTCCAAAATAAAGTGGTATTCTGTGAAGAGAACGTTCGCGTTGCTATCGACGTCAATATATGCATGGTATTAAATCGGCTTATGGCACCAGGTTATAACTTTTTGAGGCGTCGAATTCATACTTCTGGCATACCAGATTTCAATTGCTATCTGTTGGAATTATTGATCTTGGTGTTTGAAACTAAAAGAAAGCATGTTTTAGAAGATATGGGTGACCGGATATTTCTCGAGTTTTACTGGATAAACAAAAAGGCAAGAATGATGATCCAGCAAATTTACAATTATATGGAAGTAAATGAGCTTAGATATGCTATCCTTACCACTTATGATAATCACTAGTTTCTACGCCGAGAGCATACAGAGCTTTGGATTTCAAAGACTCTTCAGTTACAGTCAGAATCTCCACCGATACTAAAAGCATATGCTTATCTACAGGGGGGTGAAATAAATATTGAATAATTTTTTCGCGAAGATTTATTACATCAATTTTATATGAAAATTTATTAA